AAGAACAAAAAGTAATGACACAATAAGCCAAGCTGACATTTGGAGTTCAGGATTTTACACAACTGAGCAAAAAGCATTTGCATTCAGAGAAGTGAGCAGACTGATTACAGCTCTACAAGATAATGGGTAAGTGCTCTATCGTTATACAGAAGGATCTTTAATAGAGATTTGAAATTGATTTTAAATAAGAACTTTCCCAGTAAGAGGGATATATGGTCACAAAATGTGCTTGATACATGAAGAATGTAACACATTATTATTTTATCACAGAAACATCAAAATCTCTTCCTTCCGTGTGCAAGACCCAGATGTTATATGCACAAAGCAATACGTCAAATCCAGCTATAACTAATTTCAGAAACTATTACTAAATCTTCTATTGTTACCAACCCCTAACAAGGCATTCAGGAATATGCTGACCACTTGTTTACACTTGATTCCATTCCTTTTCTTGATACCTCTCCTATATCTTGATACAAAGACTTCCCACTGCCCAGGGGGAATTGTAGCCTGTCTTTATTTCATGCAACACCAACCCAATCTTTTGCTTTTAAACATACCTGTATACTTTGTACCTAATGCTAAAATGCCATGTGAAACACTGAAATTTTCACAGGGGAAAAAACCCTGCTGCATATGAGCTTTTGGCATGCCAAACTCTTCAGCTTGAATACCATGGGCCCCTCACAGGAGAGGGCAGGTGGAAACCTGTCGACCTCTAAATGGTCCTTTCTACGACTATAAATCTGATGATACAGCCAAATCACAAGGCTGTCTATGCTTTTCTTGTTATACCATTAGGATTTAAGGGTGTTTTAAAATGAATAGGGACCCCTTAAAAGGAGTTAGTTCCTGAATTAGGCTGTTACTAGTCCAGCATGTAGGAAGCTAAGTGATGTTCCTTGCTCTGCCACAAACATTTTCTGTGGCAGCTGATACCTTGCTCAGATTCCAGGATAGGGTGGTGTCTAGGCAACTGACTGCTGTAGGTCTATAGCTCCCCTTGGTTTAGTTACCTTTGTGCCTCCAGCTGAACTTCATGCCAGAGAGAATTTTATTAATTCTCTGCTGGAGTTGGAATGGTCACCAATATCTGGCTACCCAGTGCAGCAAGTACCTCCCTACCTTGCAGGGATGTTGGAGATGTGAAGTTAGGGAAGACAGAATCAAAAGCTGCTTTACTGACAGCTGTAGAGGCATGTAAGGCATACAAAGTAAGGGTAGGTCTCTCAATACACCAGTCCTTCACCAAGATGTAGCATGAGGAAAACTAATACTTATGTGTTTGCAAAGTTGTGGCTAATTTGTTGGGTGTTCTTGGAATGCTTGATTGGCAAAATCATTTACTCAAGGTAAGGGAAAATTTTTTCATCTGGAACAGATGTCTGGAGGAGTTGTAAAAGCTCGAGTCATTACTAACCAGCAGCTTCATTGTCTGGAAATAATGAGCCAACTAGTGCCACCATACTGTGACCACCTGTTCCAATGAAATATTACTGTGTATTATTTTCCTGTCTTACACCAGCTGGCACTTGCATTTCTTTTTGCTGCATTATGCTTTTTAACAGCAGGCAATGATAAGGCTGCTCAAATGTCACACAGGGCAAGAATATGACTTAAGAAACTAGGGATGAAAACATGGGGGTAAACAGGGGTAACAAAGTAGGGCCATTCTGCTTGATGATGCCAGCCACTTGTACTCAGGTGAAATTGAACCTTGCAGCAGTCTAATCTAGTATCAATTATCTCTGTTTTAATGTTCCTGTCCACCTGAGTACTTTAAAACAATCATTAGTTATCTCAGTCTTTTCGACTACATCTAAGGGAAAGCTCTATCAGTGTAGGGGTGTGATTTGGGACTTCAGTTGTTGGTTGGGTTCTTATCTCTGAGCCAGTGTGTGGTTATCAGCATAGGTAAAAAGTGCTGAAATGTCATCTCCTAAAGTTAGTAAATGTGACAGGGAGAAGCTGCTAGTCATTTTGCACCTGAGGAGTGGACTTTTTAGTCTACACAGAAAAAAATATACCTGAATATCACTCTTTCACACACACTTACCCCTATACAAAACACAGTACCATTTATAGAACGGTCTTTCTTTTTCAAATAAGTAGTTTTGGGAATGTACTATGACCAAATCTGAAAGTAAAAGATATTTTTTTTTCACTGACTTCAATACCTTGAAGAAAATTATAAATGACCAATGCTTTACTTAAGATGTTTGAGACCCCAGCCTTCACTGAAAATTCTAGGTAGGCCAATCTCCCCAGTTGGTCCATACTTCTTAAAGGCTGGGAAGAGAATTTCTCCATGAAAAGACATCACTTCTAATTTACAAACAGTGGAGTTTATGGAAGCATATACATTAGCCATTTTGTTCCAATAGAGACACACTTTTCAGGTGAATCTCACCAGACCAGCAGTGGAGTGCATTAAATGGACTAAATCCTTTTGGATGAAACTAAGTAATAATTTTGGTGCTGCTGAAATCGTTTCAGGAATAAAGTACTTTCTGAGCTTAGCACAAAGTAAACAAATTGCTTTCTCATTCTTTACCCCACCCCCATCCCCTATTTGTCTATCATCCAGAATATTCTGATTTCTCAGCTGGAACATTCTTTAAATGTTCTGCAGACATTGCAAATGTTACAATCTAAAGTTAACTTACTTAAAAGATTGCACTTCAATCTATTTTATTCTATGGGCTTATGAACTTGCTGAAAAAAAATTTATGTTCATCTGAAATTCACTATTTTATATGGAGAAAGTTGCATTTTGAACTTCACTAGAGTGCATAATATAACCTGAATGAGGGAATATATATTTTTTTCTTTAACCCTTAATACTTTAGGCAATATTATTTAATTGTTAATCAGGCCATAATTTACATGTTAAACTCAACACAAACTTCATATGACCTTCTTTCTACCCAGCAACATATGGATTTGCATTACACAATTAAAAATTAAAATAATTCTACTAATAGTACTGACAAGATTATTTGATACAAATTTTATTTCTTTTGAAGGAATGACTTATATTTTGATTATTATAATTTTAAATATCTAATATGAGGGTAGTATGTTGCACACATGTTTTAGGTATGCTTATGTATCTGCACACATATATATGTGCAGATCTGTAGAAATTAGTGTGGTATGTGAAACCTTTGCTGGATTCACTGGCTTCCACTGCTGCTGTTCTGAGAAGATTCACACGCTTGAAGTGAAGTATCTTTATATGTGCGTAAGAAATTACAAATTCTGATATGAGAATCTGTGCCAGGAAGGGACTTCTTCTAAGAAGTGATGCAGATAATTATGTAAGGCATGGGTGTGTTGTGAAAAGCAAAGGATATGAATATTTTCAATTGTCAGCCCATATGAGGGGAGGGAATGACTTTGTTTGGTGTCTTTCAAGAGTTTCCTTTTTTACTGAAAAATGGAAACAAGTCTTACGGTACCACTCCAAGGAGGTTCTGAAATTTGAAATTACAATATGGGACAAAGAAAAACTTAACTGTGCACTGAGAGAAGGTATTCCTAGACTTTAAGTGATATAATTGTTCCTTTTATGGTTTCTGACTAAATGGGGTCTGTTGTATTCTAGAATGCCTTAAAAGACATATATGGCTGCCTAGGGCACTTCTTTAGAGAAGAAAATGCAACATTTCTTAGTTGAGAAGTTAAAGAAAGGAACAAAAGCAGGCTTTCCCCTTTTGGATTCAACCATTCATTGAGTTAATAATGTTCTCTACACATTAACTCAGCATCATGTGTAGAATAATATTAAATCAGAGAAAAATGAACTCATAATCAATCACCATCATTCACTAAATGTTGTTTTCTCTCCCTGTTACAAGGAATCATTACTTCAAACCACTCTTATTTTTGTTTTGCTTTGTCCGGCTTCCCTCATTGCAAACCATCCACTAGCAGAACATGCTTCTATCCACGTGTGTGGTTGTGCTCAGTGATAGTTTTAAAGCAGTACACGAGAAAGAAAACTTTAGATGCCAAAGATTATGTCCAGATTCTTTTATCTTTGCCACCAGACTGTAGTCCCTCACGTGAAGCAGCAGCATGGGTGCAGCTCCCACCATGCAGGCTGGAGCCATGCTCCATTGGCTAAGGATAACAGGAGGAAAGGGCTCAAAAGCCCCCTGGCTTGTGACTAGGATTGATTGTCCAGCTGGTGAGGGGTCTGGAGGTGTCCTGTGAGGAGCAGCTGAGGGACACGGGGATGTTTAGCCCCAAGAAAAGGAGGCTCAGGGGTGACCCCTCTCTACAACTCCTTGGCAGGAGGCTGTAGCCAGCTGGGGTTGGTCCCTTCTCCCAGGTAACAAGATGAGGGGATATAGTCTCAAGCTGCACCAGGAGAGGTTGAGGTTGGACATTAGGAGGAATTTCTTCACAATAAGGGTAATTAGACACCGAAATGGACTGACCAGGGAGGTGGTGGAGTCACAGTCCCTGGAGGTGTTTAAAGTCTGGGTGTGACATTTAGTGCCCTGGCATAGCTGAGGTGAGGGTGTTCATGTTAGACTCAGTGACCTCATAGATGTTTTCCAACCCAATTGATTCTATTTGATTCTGTGAATGCCGGCAAGCCTGCAGAGAGGGCAGAGCTCGGAGAACTGCCTCCTCATCTTGGCCAAACAAACACTGCTTCCATGTTTGACTTATGGCTGAGTCAATTCATCTCCCTTCGCAGCATCCCCAGCAGTTTACACTGGAAACTGGAAGAGGCCAGTGTGTTACCACAGGTGAATCACTTCACTGCCATGTCAGGCAGCGGTTTTGGCTGGCGGGTGTCTCGGCGAAAGCTGCGCGGAGCCCTGGTTCCTCTGGGAGGTGTGAGCTCCGAGCCTCCCTCAACATCGCCGCCAGCCCCGAGCCCCCTCCAACATGGCGCCCCTGACCCCCGCGCTTCCTCTTCCGGCCGGGTTGCCATGGCGCTGCCCCCCGGCCCAGCCTCCCCCCGCCCGCCGGTGTGTGTTTACATCGGGCAGGAGGAGCCGGAGCCCTAGCGCCGGGGGAGACGGGCACGCAGCCGCCGGGCGCCCGCTCTCCCTCCATCCCCGCCGGGCGGTGTTCCGGGAGACGCGGCATGAAGGTGATGCTGGCGGCTGTCCCCGGGGCGGGGGGTTCGGCTGGGCCGCGGCGGCTCCCGGCGGCTGCGGGGGGGCGGGGGCCGGGCCCCGGCGGTAACCGGTGGCGGGAGGTGCTGGTGGCCGTGCGCGCTCGTAACGAAACGCGCAACTTCCAGAAGCTTCCAGCTCCGCGGGGGTTGTGGTGTCGCTTCTTGGGTCCGTCTCCCGAGAAAGAATCCCCCCTTCTCTCCATTAAAACTAGGATCGTTTCCTGCGGCGCTGAGACGGGAAGGGAGTAGCGTGAGAGCCGGGGGAGGCTGCCTGCGCCCGCTGCCCTTCTAGGCTGGTGTCTCCACGGAGAAATCGACCTCCTTCCCCGAGCATCTTCCCTCACCCACAGCATCTCGTGGGCGGTTTCCCTTCCCCGGCAGCCGTGGGGTTCGTGCCTTGGTGTGCGGCCGGGGCTGCTCCGGCGCTCACCTGTGCTGCTGCTCTCGCAGGCCCTTCCCTATGCCTGGGGGACATCGTCGCCGTTCTCCGTAGTTCGCTGTGGAAAACTATTAGGATAGAGAATGTCTAACCTGAGCCGGCTTTTGGTGTGGATGCTGAGACTGGCTGGACTATAGAAGTAGTAATATGTAACACTCAGATGCGAGGTTGTGTCTTCAGTTGTCAGTAATGCTGTTGTATTTTTTTCTCCTTCACTTTGTGTTGTCCTGTGTCTTTAATTTTAATGTGTATGACTTTTGAAGGGGTTTTCTCTTACTATTATGTCTGAAACTTGAGGCACACCAGGCATTCCCTGTCTCCTGAATTTGTCCAGCAGTAAAACAAAAAATGTATTAGCTAGATTGTAAGCTCTTTGAGGCAGAAACTGGATAGGTCTGTATCAATCCAGATGGAGAAATTTGGATCAGGCCTTCCTTCCAAGCCTCTGAGTCAAGTAAGTGTGTGTTAGAAGTTCATCAGCTTGTGCAGGTGTTTGACTCTAGGAAGTGCATGTGTGGCAGTCACTAAGGTTAACAATTATCTCTGGGCACCAGGGGCTCTTAACCATAAATACCTGCACAGCTGATGGATGAAAGAAAAGGGGCAGCCTCCGCATACATTCAATAAATATATGTAAAAAGAGTGTCTCCTATGCAGTGTTATATTTCGTTGTGCATTTGTACAAAGCCTGATAGTAAAAAGTGTGTTCTTTTCTTTCTCTCTCAATGTTTGTTAGTTCCAATAGTGTAGGATAATAAAAAGTATGTATTGAGAACGTTATTGATAAATGGCATTATGGCTTTGGGTGATTTGTTGACTTACACTGTAAAACAAAAACCTCAGAGTGCTATCTGAGCAGTAGGTCCAGCTTGAGGTCAAAATTGAAAAGATTTCCTTCAGCTTCTGTTTTATTGCATGCAGAGTAAACAGCTGCTTATTCTTGCTAAACCTATTACTTCTGCTGAGTTCCTTTTTTGCCCCACTAGAGTGGGGAAAGCTTATGGCTGTTTAAGATGAGCTCAGTCAAAATACAAGATGAGAGTGGAATCATATTCTGGCCGCAAGGAAAATGCGTGTGTTTGGGAGGAAAGTTGTTTGCTTTTAACCAATCATTTTTCAGGTATAAGCACTGTGTAGAGCTTTTCAGTATAAAAGGATTCATTTTTTTTGCCTATGAGTGGGTAATTTCTTCCAGTGCACCTTTCTTTCCACGTGTGCCACTTTTTGCTGTAGGAGTTGCTTTGCAAGTTTCTTCTAAGATGCAGATGCATCATTTAAAGTCTTAAGCTGGGGATAATTACCTTTTCATGTAACACATGGAATGCATTGAAATATGCGGTATTTTCACCCCTTTAAAAGGGTGAGGAAAGGAGAAGGGAAGGAAGAGGTGTCTGTGTGGTGTGAGTTGGATCTGAATCCCTTTTATGGGCCTGCTTGTGAGTAGTTCAGTGTGACTTTAAAACAAATAAGTTTAAGTTTTTGATCATTGCAGGAAATACATCAAAACTAAGTTTTTCAAAAGTCTTTGGGTCTATTTCTTCTATTTCCTAATTATTGTTATATCTTGGGAAATACATTTGAGTTTGTTGTTTATGGTAGCATTGGTTTTGATGCTGCTTAGTGTGTTGCTGAGGAGGCAGAGCAGTCAAAAGAGAAGAGGTTAATGCTAGTTGTGTATCAAAATGGTCTGCTTACTTAGGGAAGGGAAGAAGCGGGTATCCTTTCAGGATCCATTACTAATGCTGATCATTGCTGAGGAAACTGAAGCCTGATGCAGTTTATTTTTAAGACAATCACATAATAAGTATCCTGAAAAGATAGAGTGAAGTAAGGTAGTATGGCAAAGCAGTGCTTTACAACTTGGTGTTGAAGCTGGACTGGAATCAAGGTAGTCTCTAGGTGTACTTTATTTCTGTTCCCATGTTTTTTGAGCTGTGTCTGTGCTGAAGGATGGTATCTCTGGGCCCTTCCAGGCTATGCAAAATACAAAATTGTTTAAAGTCCCTTTTCCTGCTTCATAGGACAGGAATGAGAGGCAGGCAGCTCAGATTGTGTCAGGAAATGGGCCTTTTCTGTATGTAGTAGTAAGTGATATCTTTTAAATATGTCAATAAAGTTTGCTTTCCTTCAAGGGCAGATCATCCTGGTGGCAAGGAGATACACCTTTTCAGGCTGCATTAGGAGTCTGGGTAACGTGTCTGTGCTGTGGGGAGAGCAGTTCCATTTATTGGGGCAGTGGGGAGATAACCAAATCCATGCCTGTCTATCACAGTCAGCTGCTAATTACTGTCCCACAACAAAGTATCTTTCCAATATTAATGTCCTGTGGCTAAATGCTGGATTCCTCAAGTCTTAGGCAGCACTGGAGAAGGTTCTTGTGTGCTTGCTAATAGAACCTCTTCACACTGTATCTTCAGTGGGTGAAAGAGTTGAGGCATTAGGATAGCTCCTGGTATGGTTCTGCTGTGGTGACTGCTTCTAATACTGCTGCTGTCACTGGTCTAACCTAAACCCAAAATCAGAGAAATGAAAGGCATTGAGAGTGACAGGTTGTATTGAAGTTCTTGTTTGTGAAAGCAAGCTCAAGATGTGATTTCAGTTAAGTAGCTGGTTCCCTCTTTATTGAAAGTATTCTTCAAAGTAGAATGACAGGTTGTGGTGCTTTGGCATGTGCTCACAGTTGTGTAGTTTGGGATACAAGTGTCATAAATGTGACATTTTACTTTGAGAAACTTAAAGCTATATTTAAAAGAAAGAATGTGAACTTACTGCCTATAGTTCTCTTTTGCTGACTGCCTCTGATAGTGAGTGTTGACAGATAAATTTTAGAGATCAGAATAAGGCAAGATATTTTGAACATGAAGTATCAAATTTATGGAAAGCTCAAGTAAATATTTTTCTTGCTTGTGTTTACAGACAACTCTGTTCCTTAAGGATGTCATGGGTTGTCCTGTCAAAATGATGTATATGTAACCTTTTTCTTTACATGTGTCAAATCCTTTTTAGCAGGCCTCTTTATAGTTGAAATGAAAAGTACTTGGGAAAGAAACAGCTTATAAAAATAAGAGACAAGAGGTATTGCTTTCTATGGAGTATACAGTAATACTTTGTTTACCTAGCATGTAAATGTGGTCTAGGAATCAGGAGGAACGTAAATATAAGTGATAGAGTAAAAGGGAACACAGAGTACATATTCTGTAGATAATTTTGATTTAAATATTTGCGTGTGATTGGTCATATCTGTTTGTCTTTATTGCTGAACTGCCTTACAAACTTTGTAGTGGTTTTCTTTTCTGATATTTCAGCTGAAATTCAGAGAGATGGGAAGGGGTTACATACCTTTGAAGTTCTGGGCAAGGTATGTTCTTACATAGATGGGGACAAATAGTAGAGCTCTTAAGTTTCTTCAAAAGAAATGTTCTGATTGAGCTTAGTGGGCATCACAGAAGTGGCTTGTGCTAGTAAATCTTACAGTCTTAATATGTCTGCAGAGCTGCTCAAGGTCTAGTGCAATTCTTAGGCTTTGATTAACTCTAAAAACATTTTGGACAGAGAACTTTTGCACCTCACAGATCTTCAGAGTAAAAGGCAGCAGTTACCAAAGGCTATTGCTTCCTGAATTAATTCTTCTTGTGTGTTGCTTGTAATCATAGTGGTCAACTGTTTTTTCTATCTGATGGCTGTTTGGTTGCTGCATGTAGTAACTCCGGTTGGGATCTTGTATGCAGAAAGTTGTGATCTTTCTTACTAATTCTTTGAACTTGGAGAAAAAGATGTCTCTGCAGCCTGAAATAAAAGGGGTGTTACTGCTGGCAGTGCTTCTGGCAGTCAAATTTTGACTGTGCAGGCTAGGTGTGAAATTGGAGGGCTTAACAGTACCAGAAGATGTAGTTTTTGTTCTGTAGAGTTAGTAAATATTTTATCTGAAATGTTTCTTCTTTAAAGCACTACAGTAAGTGCACAGAATGACAAGCAACACTGATCTTGAAAATCTCTGATGTGAGTTGAAAACTGATTTGTAAGGAAGGAAATATTTAACAACCTAGCCATCAACAAAATAAATTTAAAAGTTGTGTGATAAATACATCATAATCTCCTAGCTAATTCTCAAATGCAGAAAATGCTTTTTGAAATATGTAATGAAATAAGGACACAGGAATAAGTTCTGTCCTGAATAAAATATTCTATGACTATCCTCAATTTCTAGTATATAAAATTACATTTTTGGGTTTTGAAACAACTTTTAAAAAATGGATTTGCAACTTTTTTTCCCCTTTTTTTTCCTTTTCTTTTTGATCAAATTTTTAAAAAGGAAATTAAGCTTTTGGCAAGATGACCTGTGTTTCAAACTCTTGCAGTGGTGTCTCTTGTGACCCTTTTGGGGGAGAATTCTAATATTTTTCAAGCTGTGTATATGCTTATGTACTTTGAATTCAAGTCTTATTGTAAAAATTCTGATGTTCTAGCTGTAAAAGCTCTCAAAAATTACTTAAATTTCAGCTCACTAAAACAGTAGTAGCGCACTTTTAAGGAA